ATCGATTAACTCGTTTACTCTGTGTAGAGGGGCAAGGGTGTGACACTTGGCCGATCTTATCGCCTTTGATTCCTTTAATATCCTTCCATTCTTGGCTGAGTTGAGACTTTTAACAGAAGTTTCCCCCAGTTATCTTGCCTGAGCTCTGTCATTCGCTCCCTCGCCTTGGCTACGGCTTTCTGAAAGAGCTTGAGCATTGCCGGAAGCATTGGGAGGCGGTCGGCCGAGAGGACAGCACGCTGGACTTGTGGTCCCGGGGTTCGATCCCAGGTGCAGGCGAGTAACAATGGGCAGAGTTTCTTTCACCCTATGCCCCTGTTACCTAGCAGTAAAATAGGTACCTGGGTGTTAGTCATCTGTCACGGGCTGCTTCCTGAGGGTGGAGGCCTTGTCGAGGACAGGGCCGCGGGGACACTAAAGCCCCGAAATCATCTCAAGATAACCTCAAGATTGCTGGCGAATGTGTTTTCCCTATACTGAAGTCCAACTCTTCTGGCAAGACGTTTCAGAGTACGCAGTTTAAAGTCATGTTAATTGGTATGGAGGACCTAGAGAGACCTAAAGAGACCTAAAGAGTCCACGAACATCCAAATGTTACGTACCAGATCTTTGTTAAGTATTTCAACTGTTGTTGTTGTAGATTCGCTACCTGGAACAAAAAGTTCCAAGTAGCACGGGATATGGCGAGCCCGTTGTTTCGACTGTGGAGGGAATATAGGTGATGTACCACTCTGACTCTTGAGCAACAAGGTCCTCATTTCGAGCAGGAGGAACACTTAACTGTTTGCGTTTAAATAGTCTCACAGAGAAGGATGGTATTCCCGATACACACACAAGTTAATCTAAGAATACATAATATTCTGATAACAAATCAGTTATAAGAGATGATGTGAAGCGCCGCGACACACATTGAAGCCAACATTAAGGTCTATGTTGGTAGGTTATCTTGAGATGATTTCGGGGCTTTAGTGTCCCCGCGGCCCGGTCCTCGACCAGGCCTCCACCCCCAAGAAGCAGCCCGTGACAGCTGACTAACACCCAGGTACCTATTTTACTGCTAGGTAACAAGGGGCATAGGGTGAAAGAAACTCTGCCCATTGTTTCTCGCCGGCGCCCAGGATCGAACCCGGGACCACAGGATCACAAGTCCAGTGTGCTGTCCGCTCGGCCGACCGGCTCCTAGGTAACTGCAGAAGGCAGTTACCTTCTAAGGTAACAGTTATCTAAGACCCGGAATACCTTAGATACAGTTATCCAAGACACGAAAGTATCTTGTAAACACAATAGACGCAAACAACGACATTAAACAAAGACTTAAATGATAGCAATTGTCCACGATTTCATTTTCTCAAACAAATAAAAGTCGTTGTTTTTCATCTTTTTTTTTTGTTTTAAATTGTATTTGCTTGAGAAATTTGATGCTACACTTATACATTTCAAGTATTTACGCGAGGCAGAGGCTGATGAAGTAATTTATGAAAAGGTGCAGAATATTTTTGGGGGTTCCTAAGAGGAGGCTGAAATATATAACGATAAAAGCATAAAAGTTGCAGATAAACTGTTTAAAATTCTGTCTGATCAAGACGAAATTCAAGACGAAGTTCAAGACGAAGTTCAAGACGAAGTTCAAGACGAAGTTCAAGACGAAGTTCAAGACGAAGTTCAAGACGAAGTTCAAGACGAAGTTCAAGAAATCAAGACGTTCAAGAAATCAAGACGAAGTTCGACGAGAAATCAAGACGAACGACGTTCAAGAAATCAAGACGAAAATCAAGACGAAAATCAAGACGAAAATCAAGACGAAAATCAAGACGAAAATCAAGACGAAAATCAAGACGAAAAGTGAAGAGAAAGGAATATGGTTAGGTGCTCAAGGGTAAATATATAGAAAAAGGTGTCATCTCAAGTCGTCCTTACCATCCCAGCCACTTGGGCTGGACGGTAGAGACGGTATTTTTCATTTACGGCTTCACCAACGTGCGTTTTACAGTTATTCATTCATTTTGAGCCTTATGAAGTATTCCAATAGGACAAAGCGGGAACGTCTGTTGCGTGCAACAGTTCATTTTTCGACGTACGACCAAATAGTTGCTTAAGAGTACTGTTTGTGAGGGTTAAGATGAAATGTGGATGCAATGACGCAATGTATGATGATGGAATTAGATGATGCAATTAGGATGCGTAATGATGCAATTAGGATGCATGATGATTCAATTAGGATGCGTGATGATGCAATTAGGATGCATGATGATTCAATTAGGATGCGTGATGATGCAATTAGAATGTGTGATGACGCAAGTAGGATGCAATCAGTGCACCGTGACGAACATCACTCCACTGCAAGTACACCAGCAGACAAAGTGATAACAGATATTCAAATCAATTGGAAATAAAACTAGCATTAACCTTGCAGATACGTAAAAAGGAAAATGATTTAGTTCATAGAGTGGCGTTACGGTAATCTCCTGCTTAGGCAAGGAGATCCTGTCTATTCCCTTACCACCTATTCAACAACATATCAGCATACTCCAGTATAAGAAATCAACAATACGTGCTCAAAAGCCTGCGTCTAGACACCGCCCTCCACCCCGTCAAGTACCCAAGACGCCTAGACACCTGATGTCAGGGTCCCAGCGACCACTCGCCGGTCGACCGTCTAACTGCCGCAGATAACTGTTATAAGCAGATAACTGCTTATCTGAGGCTGCCGGCGATAGTTACATGCACATCAGCGCCCTCTATACTTGGTCTGGCCCGCAGGTCACCACCGGCCAGTCCTCAGAATACACTTCGTGCTCTCAAAGCCGTAACATATACTGCCGCCTTCCCGCGAGATATTTGATGGGTACATTAGATAGGTAAACATAGGCACTGATAGGTTGTCACTGATAGGTAAACATAGGTAGTCACTGATAGGTAGTCACAGTTAGGTAGCCACAGATAGGTACCCACAGATAGGTAGCCACTGATAGGTAAAATAGGTAGTCACCGATAGGTAAAATAGGTAGTCACCGATAGGTAAAATAGGTAGTCACCGATAGGTAAAATAGGTAGTCACCGATAGGTAAAATAGGTAGTCACAGATAGGTAAAATAGGTAGTCACAGATAGGTAAAATAGGTAGACACAGATAGGTAAAATAGGTAGTCACAGATAGGTAAAATAGGTAGTCACAGATAGGTAAAATAGGTAGTCACAGATAGGTAAAATAGGTAGTCACAGATAGGTAAAATAGGTACCCATAGGTAAAATAGGTAGTCACAGATAGGTAAAATAGGTAGTCACAGATAGGTAAAATAGGTAGTCACAGATAGGTAAAATAGGTAGTCACCGATAGGTAAAATAGGTAGTCACAGATAGGTAAAATAGGTACCCACAGATAGGTAGCCACCGATAGGTAAAATAGGTAGTCACAGATAGGTAAAATAGGTAGTCACCGATAGGTAAAATAGGTAGTCACCGATAGGTAAAATAGGTAGTCACCGATAGGTAAAATAGGTAGTCACCGATAGGTAAAATAGGTAGTCACCGATAGGTAGCCACAGATAGGTAAAATAGGTAGTCATTGATAGGTAAAAAAGGTAGTCACAGATAGGTAAAATAGGTACCCACAGATAGGTAGCCACTGATAGGTAAAATAGGTAGTCACTGATAGGTAAAAAAGGTAGTCACAGATAGGTAAAATAGGTACCCACAGATAGGTAGCCACTGATAGGTAAAATAGGTAGTCACTGATAGGTAAAATAGGTAGTCACCGATAGGTAAAATAGGTAGTCACCGATAGGTAAAATAGGTAGTCACCGATAGGTAAAATAGGTAGTCACCGATAGGTAAAATAGTCACAAATAGGTAAAATAGGTAGTCACAGATAGGTAAAATAGGTAGTCACAGATAGGTAGCCACAGATAGGTAAACACTGATAGGTAAACACTGATAGGTAAACACTAATAGGTAGTCACTGATAGGTAAACACTGATAGGTAGTCACTGATAGGTAAACACTGATAGGTAGTCACTGATAGGTAGTCACTGATAGGTAAACACTGATAGGTAGTCACTGATAGGTAAACACTGATTGGTAGTTACTGATAGGTAAACACTGATAGGTAGTCACTGATAGGTAAACACTGATAGGTAGTCACTGATAGGTAAACACTGATAGGTAGTCACTGATAGGTAAACACTGATAGGTAAACACAGGTAGTCACTGATAGGTAGACACTGATAGGTAGTCACTGATAGGTAAACACTGATAGGTAGTCACTGATAGGTAAACACTGATAGGTAGTCATTGATAGGTAAACACTGATAGGTAGTCACTGATAGGTAAACACTGATAGGTAGTCACTGATAGGTAAACACAGGTAGTCACTGATAGGTGAACACATGTAGTCACTGATAGGTAAACACAGGTAGTCACTGATAGGTAAACACAGGTAGTCACTGATAGGTAGACACTGATAGGTCAACACTGATAGGTAGTCACTGATAGGTAGTCACTGATAGGTAAACACTGATAGGTAGTCACTGATAGGTAAACACTGATAGGTAGTCACTGATTGGTAGTTACTGATAGGTAAACACTGATAGGTAGTCACTGATAGGTAAACACTGATAGGTAGTCACTGATAGGTAAACACTGATAGGTAGTCACTGATAGGTAAACACTGATAGGTAAACACAGGTAGTCACTGATAGGTAGACACTGATAGGTAGTCACTGATAGGTAAACACTGATAGGTAGTCACTGATAGGTAAACACTGATAGGTAGTCATTGATAGGTAAACACTGATAGGTAGTCACTGATAGGTAAACACTGATAGGTAGTCACTGATAGGTAAACACAGGTAGTCACTGATAGGTGAACACATGTAGTCACTGATAGGTAAACACAGGTAGTCACTGATAGGTAAACACAGGTAGTCACTGATAGGTAGACACTGATAGGTCAACACTGATAGGTAGTCACAGATAGGTAGACACTGATAGGTAAGTACTTACGACATCGCAGCGTTTCCAATCTCGTAAACTTGTGAATAAACACAAACTAATCCACTATACCGGACGAAAGATATACGGATCTCGTAAGTTCTTAATAATATTCTCACTATAACATCACAAACTCGTAACCCGACGCTCCGCACTCTACCTCTCCCCGACGGCAACTGGAGGTCGAGGGATCGAGTCTCCTCCAGCGGGCGTCAGGCGGTGATCGAGTAGTTTAGTCACATGATAAGACAGTTACAGCCGTCGCTGTACAAGCGACGATGACAAATTGGTTTTCATAAGTTAATATTATTATATATTTAAGGTTCTATGATTAGTTAGGCATAGGTTAGGTGTTTAGGTTCTGTTGACGATTGTTTGTAGTATGTGAGTGAAGCATTTGTTGAACTGTTCGAATAGAGGACGTGAGCGAAGCCCTTCTTTGGTGGAAGTGTTCGGATGGCATCAGTTGTGAGTCGTATGTCCGCCCGTCCTCTAAGCAAAGATCAAAAGACCATTCCATGCCCCCGCCAAACCCTCTGTTCACAAATAAAAAACGATTTATAATTTTTATATACTATTAATACCATACAAAATGTATTTGAAATTCCTAGAAGCTTAAGCCAGGAACTATAAAACTGAACATACTTGTATATAGAGGTGAAGCGTTTATCAACTCATGAGTACTCGCTATTTTCCTCCCTAAGCAGAAGGAACACTTCTAGTGAGAGGTGTACCTCGCTTCTAGCTGTATACACTGAGTTTACATTGACATTAAAGTAAACTTACAGGTTGGTCAGAAAGTTTTCTTCATGACCTTAATTACCTTCAAGAGGTTGACATCCCTTAAGCCTAACACTAAACCATCCCCCCCCCCCCCTCAAGTGGATATACCAAGCTACAGATGGTGCAGCAGCCGATCATTATACCCCAGAGCAGACAGGTGGGTGGCAGCAGACAATGTCTGCTTGATACCAATAACGGTGTCACCTAACTTGGCCAACGAGTGACAGGAAGACTTTAGATGTGTCTGCTGTGTCACGAAGCGAGGAATTCCATGTATCCAAGAGAACTGATAGCATGTATCCAAGAGGACGGATAGCATGTATCCAAGAGGACTGATAGCATGTATCCAGGAGGACTGATAGCATGTATCCAGGAGGACTGATAGCATGTATCCAGGAGGACTGATAGCATGTATCCAGTAGGACTGATAGCATGTATCCAGGAGGACTGATAGCATGTATCCAGGAGGACTGATAGCATGTATCCAGGAGGACTGATAGCATGTATCCAGTAGGACTGATAGCATGTATTCAGGAGGATGGATAGCATGTATCCAGGAGGATGGATAGCATGTATCCAGGAGGACTGATAGCATGTATTCAGGAGGATGGATAGCATGTATCCAGAAGGATGGATAGCATGTATCCAGGAGGACTGATAGCATGTATCCAGGACTGATAGCATGTATCCAGTAGGACTGATAGCATGTATCCAGGGGCATGGGCCTTGTCCTGCCCCCTCTGTTGTGAGTCTATCCACGTAAATATTTACATTCTGGATTAAACAACATCAGTGAATCTGTGGTACTAAAATTTCCGAGTAATAACGTAAATTCAATTACGCCGAGGCGCTTCAGGAAGTGGTAACGAGGTTTTCAACCCAACGTTGGTAGATTTTCATCAGATACAACTGTAGCTTGTAATTACCAAATGATAGAAGAAAATATGATGATAAAGAATAATTGTTTATATCAAATAGTATTATAGTAACGTCTCCACTAATGCCCTGTGTACACTTTTGTGCATTTTCAATCTTGCAGTGAGGAAAGTATTTGATATTTCCTCATTTATTGCTGGTGTTTGTCTCCTACTTTCTCTCTCTCTCTCCCTACATTTACTCTCCATTTCCTACTCACTGCGTTTTTTTCAGTGTTGCAGATCCTGATTGTGTTTCTCTTTCCATGTCCCACATTTCTCATTCTCCCTTCTCAAGGTGTTCTCTCTCATCCTGTTCCAGCATCTCTTGCGTTCTCTGTCTGCCAGAACCTTCCCACTCTCTTCCCATAGGGGAGCCGGTCGGTCGAGCGGACAGCACACTGGACTTGTGATCCTGTGGTCCTGGGTTCGATCCCAGGCGCCGGCGAGAAACAATGGGCAGAGTTTGTTTCACCCTATGCCCCTGTTACCTAGCAGTAAAATAGGTACCTGGGTGTTAGTCAGCTGTCATGGGCTGCTTCCTGGGGGTGGAGGCCGGGTCGAGGACCGGGCCGCGGGGACACTAAAGCCCCGAAATCATCTCAAGATAACCTCTCCGGAGTTTATCAGTTCCTAATCCTCCCTATTTCCCCTTCCAAGTGTTGACCAGACCACACACTAGAAGGTGAAGGGACGACGACGTTTCGGTCCGTCCTAGACCATTCTCAAGTCGATTGTGACCCCTTCCAAGTCTCTGCCCATCACTCAGGTGCAGTCAGGCTCCAGTCTCTAAGACCTCTTTCCTCAGTTCGCGCTCTCTCACCCTCTTCAAACTACTAGCTCTTCCGCGCCCTTGTCAGAGATGAAGCTTTTAGAACCGGAATTCTTAAAATTTTCTAGTCTGGATCTTATGGGTTTCTGGCATAGTTGGAATATGTATTTTTTTTTTTTTTTGCTTTTACTTTCTCTCATTCTACTTCCCCTTTCCTCCGTTCCCACTGTTTATCATCGTCGTCTCTCTCTTGGTTATCTTCCATTTTCATTCCTTCTCTTGCCGTTATTCTTTCACGTTTGCTTAGCTCTCTTCTCTTCATCTCTTTTTCTCCCTTTATCACATTCCGTTATTCTCTCGAATCTATTCCTTATACATTCCAATCGCATCTTTCCTCTTTCCCACAGTGACCCTTTTGTGTGAAGGTAACTGGGGATTGATAATCACCTACGGCCAGATTCACGAAGCAGTTACGCAAGCACTTACGAACCTGTACATCTTTTCTCAATCTTTGGCGGCTTTGTTTACATTTATTAAACAGTTAATGAGCTCCGAAGCACCAGGAGGCTGTTTATAACAATAACAACAGTTGATTGGCAAGTTTGCATGCTTGTAAACTTTTTAATAAATGTAACCAAAGCCGTCAAAGATTGAGGAAAGATGTACACGTTCGTAAGAACTTGCGTAACTGCTTCGTGAATCTGGCCTCTAGTTCTCCTATCGCTTGAAAAATGAACGTCTTGAAGAAAGAGCTGTAACAACAGCCCGTCCTGGTCGAGGAAGTCCTCGACCAGGCCTCCAGCCCCATGAAGCAGCCCGTGACATCTGACTAACACCCAGGTACCTATTTTACTGCTAGGTAACAAGGGCATAGGGTGAAAGAAACTCTGCCCATTGTTTCTCGCCGGCGCCCGGGATCGACCCTGGGACCACAGGATCACAAGTCCAGTGTGCTGTCCGCTCGGCCGACCGGCTCCCCTATATAGTAGGGGGACTGTAGGACTATAGAAATAGTAGTAGTAATAGTAGGCATCCATCAGTCTCAGAAGACTATGGAGTTGGACTCTGGTTGATGGTCTAAAGTGGCCTCACTAGGGCGCAAAGCCCAGGTAGGTTGAAAAGGAGGAGAAGCTGTTACCCATGCAGCAGGTCCGCCCCCTATCCATGACGCCGAAAGTCTCCAATGGAAAAGGATATCCAGATACAAGCAAATAGCTGCTTGTATCTGATTGTAGAAATAGCTCCTTGTATCTGATTGTAAACAGAGCTGCATGTCGCCCTGTCTGCCTGGGTCTAATTATGAAACGTGCCGATTGTATGATTGTAAACACAGCTCCTCGGCTCGGATCTCTCACCAGGATAGAAAATATTGCGCTACACTGGAGATGCGAAGCTGGAGATGCGAAGCTGGAGAGCAAAGCCCCCAGAGATTACCTTCCTCTTGCCGTCTCCTGAAAGCGAATACATAATGCATAGAGAGGAAGACAGAAGCTTACATCCAGAAATATATATATTATATAATATATATATATATATGTATGTATATATATGTATATATATATATATATTGTGTTGAATATGACCGAAAGGGTAAAATTAATGATTCTAACACGAATTTTCTCAATATTTCTCATATTTTTTCTTCTATGGTAAGAAAAACATAAGAAATATTGAGCAATTCTTTTTAGAATTAATCAGATTTTTTCGGCCATATTCAAGAAATGTATAAAAGAAAGACTGCAACCATAATATTATATATATATATATATATATATATATATATATATATATATATATATATATATATATATATATATATATATATATATATATATACACACACACACACACACACACTGTATTTCAGTTTTTTTTAAGAAGTTTGGTGAAAATTTCCAACACTTTCACAAGGACTCCGCTACCAGCTAACGAACTCGGCAGAACAAATATTTACTGAGGGATCCCGGATCGTTACATGAAACCAGAGTTAGCTTTAGCTGTGGAAAGCTGCACCAGATCCCAGTTCGTCACGGATCACCTGTGAGTAGGAGACGTCGTTATATAACCGTTAGACGCTTGTTAGACAGCCCAGAGGAGCTGTCTAACATATACCAACTTTGTTGACTAGACCACACACTAGAATGTGAAAGGACGACGACGTTTCGGTCCGTCCTGGACCATTCTCAAGTCGATTGTGTAGTCAGTATCATTCACAATCGACTTGAGAATGGTCCAGGACGGACCGAAACGTCGTCGTCCATAATTCACCTTCTAGTGTGTGGTCTGGTCAACATTCTTCAACCAGGTTATTGTAACTCATCGCCTGCATATACCAACATTCATACTATGAATAGTTGAAATTCAATTAGCTCCCATATTACATTATGTATGCTTATTATTTGGTTTTAACTTCCCTGTCTCCTTAGTTCTATGAATTTTAGATAAAAAGTGACTGATTAGAGGGTCATTTTCTTCTCTAGGGAGAGAATAAGGGATCTTAAGCGGCTGGTTAATGGTCACCGATCTCTTTTTTTTTGGTAATTTGGGTCTCAGTGCTGCATTTCAGTCGGATCTTGAAAGTTTCCACCACGATATCGTTGGCGTCCACTTTTATTGGGAAACTTTAGCTAATTGTCCATTTTTCCTCTACTTAAATGGCGAAGTTGGTCAGCAGATTTTGCGTTGTAATTGCACACACACACACACACAC